GGCCGCGGCCCGCTCGCACTGCGAGGAGGCCGCAGCAGGCGCTGCCGCGCGCGCCAACTACAGGCCGCTCTGCGACGCCTTCCTCGACTTCTGCCAGACGAAGGGCCGCGTCCCAGCCGACGTCAACGAGCTGCAGATCAGGCTGCTCGAGGCGCTCGACCACCTGCATGGGGCCGATGGTACCAAGGGCGATGCGGACACGCTCGTGGCGGCGGTCAAGGATCACTTCCCCTTCGCGGTCGGCTCGGGGACTCTGCCTCGGGTGACCCGCGCCCTACAGGGGGTTCGGGAAGAAGCGGCCGCCTCGGCCCCGGGCACCGGCACCAAAGGAGCTCATGGCGGCAGCGATGTCGATGCTGCTGGCCCTGGGGCTGTACGACCAGGCGCTGCAAGTCGCGGTTCTGTTCTACACCTACATTCGCCCTGGGGCTCTCCGACAGCTGACGGTCGGGCAGCTGCTGCCCCCAGCGAGGCGGTCGGGGCCGCTGAGCCACTGGTCGATCATCCTGGCACCGACCGAGACGGTGGGCGCGCCCCGGGTCCTGACCAAGACCGGCACCTCGGACGAGACGGTGCTGCTGGACGAGCCCGCCTGGCTGGGGCCTGTGCTGCAGGCGCATGCGCGGGGCAAGCCTCCGACCGCCCCCCTCTTCACGACGGGCGGCCCAGGCATGGCAGCGGCCTTCGGCCGTGCTGTGGCCGCCCTGGGCGTCCCGGGCGTATGCCTGTACCAGCTCCGGCACGGCGGGGCCAGCGACGACCTGCTCACCCAGAGGCGGCCGGCGGACGCCGTGAAGGCGCGCGGCCATTGGAAATCCGAGAGCAGCTTGCGCAGGTACGCGAAGCCCGGGGCCATTCACCAGCTGCTCAACGCGATGCCAGCGGAGAACAGGGCGTTCGGCGTCCAGCAGATGAACTTGCTCGAGCGCCTGCTGAAGCGCGAGGCGCCCGGATCGTGGGCGCCCCGCAGCGGCGTCGCTGCGGCGGCGTGAACTGGAAGGGCCGCGGCGGCCGGCTACACCGACCCCGCCGCTTTCGGAGGCCTGGGGAGGTGTTCGAGCTGATGGCGGGCTCAGCGCGCATTGCCGCTGCCGCCGCCGCTGCCGGTTTCCAGGCCCGGTCTTGGGAGCTGTCCGAGTCGGAGATGCAGGACTGCATGCGCCCTCTCGTCAGAAAATGCATTTACGAGAGCCTCCGTTTGAGGCTAGTTGCCCTGCTGTGGATTGGCTCCATAAGCGCCACTTGGCCGCGTGCCAGACGCAACGTCTCTGGGCAGCCCGGGTGGCCAGCGCCGCTGCGGTCGCGAAAGTGCATCTTCGGTTTACCCCACCTCGCTGGGAAGGATCTGGCAGCTGTTCACGGAGGCAACGCTCGTGCGACTTGGGCCGCTCGCCTCTTCCAGTTCGCAGCGCTTCGAGGCTGCCCCGTGGTGATTGAGAACCCGCAGAGCAGTTTCATCTGGTGTCATCCAGAGTTCCAGCGCTTGTGCGAGAAGTGGCGGTATATCGACATTGACTATTGCGCCTTCGGTTGCCCATATCGTAAACGCACGAGACTCTTGTATGCTAACCTTGATATTTCTCGACTGAGTTGGGCGCACTGTTCTGGCAGGCACGTCTGCAGTTTCTCTCATCAACCGCACGTAGAGCTTGCTGGCAGGGCAGGCAAGACGTTTCATACCGCCAACGCCGTTGCATATCCACATGAATTGGCAGCGGCCGTTGCTCGCTGCCTGTGGGCCCGCCCGCCCTCCCGAGTACAGATACTCTGATCTGGGGATTGGCCAGAGAGTGATTGCCAGCTGGCGCGCGAGGCTCACAACTGCTCGCCCCGCGCTCGATCGAGTAGTCTGCGTGAAAACAGATCGAGGGGGGTGTTAGCATGTGCCATCTGTTTACAGAATAGCATGTGTAGCTCCCCTCGTGTAGTTTGTTCAGAAGATGCCAGCGGTGCTCGGTTTATAAACGTGGACGCCCGGGAGGGGGCGGGGGAAATTCTGTACAAAACGACCGTTTTGTACAGAATTTCCCCCCTGGCGTTTTGAACGTGTCTGTTGCACTACGGTGAACTCCGCCGGTCGCAGCTCATGGAACGCATTGGCATCGCAGCGGGTCAGAATGATCAGGATTCGCCGGCAGAGTCGCTCAGCACATGTCTGTATTGCTCTGTCCGTGGCTATCCTGGCTCAAGTTTTTGAGGGCCCCCCCCTTGCCCTCCCTCTTCTTCTCCTCTTCTTCCTGCCGTTGGCAGCCAGAGAGTGATTGCCAGCTGGCGCGCGAGGCTCACAACTGCTCGCCCAGATCGAGGGGGGTGTTAGCATGTGTGTGTATATATATATGTCTTTCTCTCTCTCTCTCTCTTTCTCGCTCTTTTTTTTTCTATATGGATGTGTATGTATATACTCACATACATATATGTACTATATATATATATCCTTTTGGGGTGAATGGGACGATTGTTGCTCCTTCGGGGCTCTCTTAACGGCCTCTTGGGGCGTCTTGGGGTCCTCGTGGGCCGTCTTCTAACCATCGGGGTTCCTCTTGGAGCGCTCTTGTGCTGCCTTAGGTCTCTCTTGCGCTTCTCCGATGACCCCTCTGATCGCTTCGACTGTGCTCGCAAGGCCCAGCAAGGCGCCCCGGGAGGCCCAGCAGGGCCAGCTGACTTTTTTCCAAGGGCAACTTGGGGTCCGCCGGGACGTCCGAAACGGCGTCTGGGCGTCCCCGGGGTGGAGGGGTGGGGGGTGAGGGGGGGGGTTCGGGTAATACAAATATCGGCATCGGAATATATACACTTGTTCTTTGTATCTCGCTCTTTCTCTCTTTCTCACCTTATTCCATGATTTTATTTTGGTATGGTCCATTCAAGATCCCCCGATCTTTTGTCCCAAGGCGAGAGTCTCGTCTTACTTTACACGGACGGGGCGGATGAGGTGAACGGAGAGGAACTTGATAAGGTGATGAATGCACGGAGAGGCGGAAGGGCGGGCGGGCGGTGGGCGGGCGGGCTGGCGGCGGGCGGGTCGGAATTTCAATTGACTAATGAGTACCAGGTGTTGTCTTGGAGACGGGCGCAGTACAGTGTGTTGTCTTGGAGGCGGAGGCTGTTGAGTACAGGGTGGTTCGTGCTACGCGGAAGGCGGGCGGGCATGCGGGCGGCGAGCGGGCGGGCGGGCGGGCGGCTGGCGGGCGGGCGGGCGGACGGGTCGGAAATTCAATCGACTCCTTGAGGATTCTTTCTTGCAGCAGGAGCCTATTGAGTACTGGGTGATGTCTTCGAGACGGAAGCTGTTGAGTACAGGGTGTTTTCTTGGAGACGGAGGTTGCGGGCTCTCCCCTCCAGATTCATGGAACTTGAAACGAACGGGTCTTCCGGGGAACCGCACGAAAACGTGGATATCCAGAAAAGTGCGTGGGGAATCTTGAATGGACTATACTCTTACATATCCGAAAGAGCGTGTTCTACCGCTGCTGGCGGAAAACCGGGGGTGGACTACCGGTTCGAACCCCTCCCCCCCCCCTCCGGAAAACCGGGGGGGTCACTACCGGTTCGAACCCCTCACCCCCCCCCCCCCCAGTTCATCATGAAAAGGGGGGGGGGTCACTACCGGTTCGAACCCCCCCCCCTTCGAAAACCACTCCCCCCCTGCTCCCCCTCGAAAACCGAGTGGGGGTGCGGACAGTGGTGGGGACGGTGTTGGTGGGGACAGTGGTGAGGGGACAGCGAGACAGTGGTGGGGACAGTGGGACAGTGGGACAGTGGTGGGGACGGTGGTGGCGGGGACAGTGGTGGGGACAATGGTGGGAACAGGGGGGACAGTGGATCGTGGTGGGGACGGCGGTGGTGGGGACAGTGGTGTGGGTGGGGACAGTGGGAATGAGGTGGAATCAGTGGGACAGTGGAGGGTACAATGGTGGTGGGGACAGTGGTGAAGGCGGTGGCGAGGACGGCGGTGGGACAATGGGACAGAGGTACAGTGGGACTGGTGGGGACAGTGGGGACAGTGGTGGGAACAGTGGGACAGCTCAGTGGGACAGCGGAGGAGTCAGTGGGACAGTGGGGACAGTGGGGATAGTCGGGCAGTGGTTGGGGCCGTGGAGACAGTGGGGAGAGTGGAACCGTGGTGGGAACAGTGGTGGGACAGTGGGGACAGTGCGACAGTGGTGGGGGCACTGGTGGGGACAGTAGGGACGGTGGTGGAACCAGTGGGGACAGTGGTGGTGAGGACAGTGGTGCTGGGAACAACAGTGGGGGATGTGATGCGGACGGTGGTAGGCCCAGGGGTTGTTGGGAGGCCGGGAGTCGTTGGTGGCGGTGCGTGTTGGGGGGGGGGTCGAACCGGTAGTGACCCCCCCGGTTTTCGAGGGGGGGGGGGTTCGAACCGTTAGTGACCCCCGGGTTTCCGGATCCGGGGGGGAGGGGGGGGGTTCGAATTTGGTAGTGACCCTCCCGGTTTTCGAGGGGAGAGGGGGGGGTGGGGAGGGGTTAGGGGAGGGGGGGGGGTTGCCGGGGGAGAGGGGGGGGGGGTGTTCCAGCAGGGGGGGGGGATTTTCGGAGGGGGGGGGGGGGGGGTGGGGGCGACCCCCAGGTTCCGGAGGAAAAGGTTGGCAATTTTCCACAGTACAGCGGCGGTGGGTCACGCTCTCTCATATGTCCATATATCTTTATACATACATACATACATGTATCTAAATATGTTTGTGTTTGATATCTCTCGCTCTCTCTCTCTCTCTCTCTGTTCTCTCCTTCCCTCCTCAGGACGCCCTGGACACACCGAGTCTCCATCCCACCCCTCGCCCATCTCCCTCAGGACCCGCGTGGAGCCCCGTTGCACTCCTGAAGTTGGCTGAGCTTCCTCCTCGTCCGCGCTCCCCGCCTCATCACTCCTTCGAGGAGGCCCGAAGTTGTAAAAATTACAACAAACACGCAGTCATCGAACCTTGCTCCTCGATCCTCGAAGCTCCTCCTGCTTTCTCCGCCCCCTGGCGGGCCCCACCGGCGAGGTGGTCAGGAGCCCCGAGAAGCGCAGAGCTTGGGAGTCGGAGCTGCGCGGCGGCGCGCTAAACGACGCCATGGCAGCTTCCAGGGCCCGCGTCAGGCTGCCCCGACAGCGGCCACGAGTACGAAGACGACGGACGACAAACGACTGACGGCGACGCACGACCACGAGGGCGATGGAGGTCGGACGACCAGTGACCCGCGGCGACGACGACGACGAACGAAGAAGAAGATGACGGAGGTCGGAAGACCACTGACCAGCGGCGACGATTACGATAGACAGCGACGAAGTTGATGGAGGTCGGTCGACGATTGACCAGTGAGGACGACAACGACGATGGACGACGACGAGCGAAGAAGAAGATGACAGAGGTCGGAAGACCACTGACCAGCGGCGACGATTACGATAGACAGCGACGAAGTTGATGGAGGTCGGTCGACGATTGACCAGTGAGGACGACGACGACGATGGACGACGACGAACGAAGAAGAAGATGACCGGAAGAAGACCACTGACAGCGGCGACGATTACGAGGACAGCGACGAAGTTGATGGAGGTCGGTCGACGATTGACCAGTGAGGACGACGACGTACGATGGCCGACGACGACGGAAGAAGTATGACAGAGGTCGGAAGACCACTGACCAGCGGCGACGATTACGATAGACAGCGACGAAGTTGATGGAGGTCGGTCGAGACGATTTGACCAGTGAGAGACGACGACGACGATGGACGACGACGAAACGAAGAAGAAGATGACAGGGGTCGGAAGACCACTGACCAGCGGCGACGATTACGATAGCAGCGACGAAGTTGATGGAGGTCGGTCGACGTTGACCAGTGAGGACGACGACGATGGACGACGACGAACGAAGAAGAAGATGACGGAGGTCGGAAGACCACTGACCAGCCGCGACGATTACGATAGACAGCGACGAAGTTGATGGAGGTCGGTCGACGATTGACCAGTGAGGACGACGACGACGATGGACGACGACGAACGAAGAAGAAGATGACAGAGGTCGGAAGACCACTGACCAGCGGCGACGATTACGATAGACAGCGACGAAGTTGATGGAGGTCGGTCGACGATTGACCAGTGAGGACGACGACGATGGACGACGACGAACGAAGAAGAAGATGACGGAGGTCGGAAGACCACTGACCAGCCGCGACGATTACGATAGACAGCGACGAAGTTGATGGAGGTCGGTCGACGATTGACCAGTGAGGACGACGACGACGATGGACGACGACGAACGAAGAAGAAGATGACGGAGGTCGGCAGACCACTGACCAGCGGCGACGATTACGATAGACAACGACGAAGATGATGGAGGTCGGTCGACGATTGACCAGTGAAGACGACGATGTCGATGGACGACGATGAACGAAGAAGAAGACGAAGAAGATGGCTGAGGTCGGAAGGCCACTGACCAGCGGCGACGAATACGATAGACAGCGACGAAGTTGATGGAGGTCGGGCGACGATTGACCAGTGAGGACGACGACGATGGACGACGATGAACGAAGAAGAAGATGACGGAGGTCGGAAGACCATTGACCAGCGGCGACGATTACGATAGACAACGACGAAGTTGATGGAGGTCGGTCGACGATTGACCAGTGATGACGACGATGAACGAAGAAGAAGATGACGGAGGTCGGAAGACCACTGACCAGCGACGACGATTACGATAGACAACGACGAAGTTGATGGAGGTCGGTCGACGATTGACCAGTGAGGACGACGACGACGATGGACGACGACGAACGAAGAAGAAGATGACGGAGGTCGGAAGACCACTGACCAGCGGCGACGATTACGATGGACAACGACGAAGTTGATGGAGGTCGGTCGACGATTGACCAGTGAGGACGACGACGATGATGGACGACGACGAACGAAGAAGAAGATGACGGAGGTCGGCAGACCACTGACCAGCGGCGACGATTACGATAGACAACGACGAAGTTGATGGAGGTCGGTCGACGATTGACCAGTGAAGACGACGATGTCGATGGACGACGATGAACGAAGAAGAAGATGACAGAGGTCGGAAGACCACTGACCAGCGGCGACGATTACGATAGACAGCGACGAAGTTGATGGAGGTCGGGCGACGATTGACCAGTGAGGACGACGACGATGGACGACGATGAACGAAGAAGAAGATGACGGAGGTCGGAAGACCATTGACCAGCGGCGACGATTACGATAGACAACGACGAAGTTGATGGAGGTCGGTCGACGATTGACCAGTGATGACGACGATGAACGAAGAAGAAGATGACGGAGGTCGGAAGACCACTGACCAGCGGCGACGATTACGATAGACAGCGACGAAGTTGATGGAGGTCGGTCGACGATTGACCAGTGAGGACGACGACGACGATGGACGACGACGAAGACGACGGAGGTCGGACGACCGACGACCAGCGACGACGACAGCGCCCACGTCCTGGCCAGGCTGCGGCGGTGCTGGCCGCGCGCGCGGAGCGCTCCCCAGGAGCAAGGGGGGCCGGCCCGCGGGCGCGCGGCGAGGCTGCCCACGAGCGGCGACGACGAGGTCTCGCGCATCTGCTTCCAGGCCCGACGCCGCCGCTGCCGTCGTGCTTTGGAAGAGCTAGGCCTCCCTGATGTCGCATGCCTCGAGGTCGACACCAGCACCAATTTCGGCGGTGTGCCTCCACCGAGGGAAGAAGATCCCGATCTCGGTGATGGTGGTAGGATTCTGGCTTCCCAGGCGGTCGAACTATCACCATCAGCACCGAAGTCTGGGATCAGCTCCCCCCGGTGGAGGCAACCCCCTGTGTTGGTGTTGGTGCCCATTTCCAGGCCTCCCTGATGGGATCTACGCCACGCTCTCGCCGCTCCTTCGGGGGCCGCCCTCGGACCCGGCACGAAGCCGGGGGGCCATGGCCAAGGTGTCGAGGAGTCTTGCGGATGCCGATCTCGGTCATTGTCAAGTCTGGGCCTCCCAGATATGGGATCCGAGCAGATGGGGTCGGAGGATTGCGGCGCTTTGCCGATGCATCGGCGATGCGGCTGGATGCAGGGCCCGATTTTCTCCACGCCGACAGCGCCGATGCATCGCCGATGCATCCGCGATGCGGTGCGATCCTCGACCTTATCTACTCGGACCCATCTAGGAGGCTTCTGGGCAAGATGTCATGCTAACGTTGAGTCGGGCATGTCCCTCTCAAGGAGTACTGTTCAAAAAGAGCCAGGGGGGGATTTTCGACAATATTTGACCAGTTTTGGGTAGTTGTGTTGACATTCGCCGGGGATCGGCCGGGGTACTTCTCGTCTGGGGCCCCCCAGGGGCCGCCCCGCGCGCGCGAACTAGAAATATTGTTAAGTAGTTACCAGAGATCTCAGCACGCCTCTGGCCCGTTGGGCCGGCGAATTTCCGCCCTGCTCTATCTTGGTTCCCACCATCTTCTTGGGTACCTTTTAGAAATGAAATCCAGGGTGCGGGAAATTACGCAACATGTTCTGACACGCCGCTCCCAACTAGAACCAGAAGGCGAACATGTTTGCCCAACGTTTCCATGCCCGCAATTTCTGCCCTTCTTGTCCATGCCGCTTGGAGCAAAGTATTGACACATTGCACCTTCGGTTAAGTCAAGGTGGATCCTAAGTCAGGGTTCAGTGTCGTCGCCCTCGCCGCCGTCGCTGACGCCGCTGCCGCCAAGGGAGGGGATCGAGAGGGGGCTACCGGTGTTGTGCCCACCCCTACGCCCTTGCAAGCTACTCCACTTGTTCCACTTTCCATTCCGCTTTTAGCCGCTTCTGTGGTACACGCAGTGGTCGTCGTTTCCACAGTGGTCACGCGCGTGCTCTTCCTCTTCTGTCATCTCGAGCATGAAGACGCAGCGACCGCTTCGACCAACGTCGGGATAGCACCGCAGATTCCAAGTGAGGGCGCCGAACGATCATTCGCTGCCCCCGGGTGCGCGGCTGAAGTGGAGTTCCGCGGCGCGGATCCTGCTCCTCGTCGTCTGTCGTCGTCGCCCCGCCCGCGACCCGCTCCCCGACCCGCCCCGCGCTCGCCCGCCCTCTGGCCCGCAAGCGGCGGCGCGCTCCACGGCCCAGGAGGCCTCCCGCGGGCTGCGCGCGCTCTCGGCGGCCCTCGGCGGCGCCGCCCTCTCCCCCCTCGTGGGCCACATGCGAGCCCTACCCCCATACTCCCCCTCGGAAATCGTGAGGGGGTAGGGGTAGGGTCCGCATGTGCCCCCCTATTCCCCCCCTCTCGGCCCTCTGGCCCGCCTTGGGCTCGACGGGAGCCTCCTCCTCCTCCCGGCTCGACTGCAGCGTGACCCGCTGGCGCGAGGGACTTTCTTTGGGGTGCGGGCTCGTCGGGGGCCCTCCCCCGCTCGCGGAGCGCGATGGCCGATGGCGGCCGCCTGCGCGAGCGCATCTGGTTACAGTGCCGTTTTTGATACATGCTCCGCGTGCGGATCATGTATTAAATATGCAGGGATTTAGCACTAAAAACAACGATGAGTTCATGCGTGAACGTATGCATAAATTCATAATGTTTTGAAAAGTCCCACGTACTAAATGCTGCCCTGTACCCTGCGCCCCCGAAGTCCGCGCACCAGAGGCCGCTCGTTGCCTCGGGCCACTCCTGCGCGCAGCCGCTTTTGGGCACCCCTCGGCTGCCCCCGACCGGCCCTCGGACCCTCGAGCCCTCGAGGCAGGAAGCCCCGGGGGGCCATGGCCGAGACGGCGCGGGGCCCTGCCGATGCCAATGTTGGCCATGGTCCATTCTTCGGTAGGGTCGTGCGGCGTTGGCGCGCCGGCGACGCCGGCGAAGGCAATCAAGGTTGAATTCCGCGACGCGGAAGCACGGATCGACACGGTAACGCCACTGGACTCGACTGAATCCCATTTTGAACGATCGGGGTCGCGACCGATTCGACCTTGAACGATCGGCGCGGTGTCAAAAACCTTTGCGGGCGCCGACGCCGCGCGAACCTGACGTACGCCTCCGAGTGGGGTCCGAGCAGATGGGATCGGAGGATCGCGCCGCATCGACGATGCATCGGCGATGTGGTTCGTTGTGGAGTCCGATTTTCCCCACGCCGACGGCGCCGATGCAGCGAGCGCCGACGTCGCGGATGCATCGCCGATGCATCGCCGATGCATCGGCGATTCGGTGCGATCCTCCAACCTCATCTACCCCGACCCCCTCTAGGAGGCCTCTATTGCCGATGCCGATCTTGGCCAGTGTCCATGCGGGCGGTCCGCGCGGGCGATCCACGCAATGGCGCTAATCAAGGTGGACGGTGGCCAAAATCGGGACGACGTTTCCGCGTTCAGTCTAAGTCATGGTCCCCGTGTTCTCCCCCTCCAGACCCTGGCTTCAAGGCGGCGTGGCGGGGGGGCGGGCAATTGACATACGAATTACGAGGCAGAGATTCGGCGGCGCGCCGGGGGGAAGTGAGAGGGGGCAGGCCTTCTCAGAAGGCTCGGAGGGCCCCCGGCCTCGCTCTGAGGAGTGTTATGCGCCTTTCCCGAAGACGCAGAATCGGAGGCCTAGAGGTTGACACCAACACCAATATTGGCGATGTGCCTCCACCGAGGGTAGATGATCCCGATCTCGGTGATGGTAGTAATATTCGGGCTTCCAAGGTGGGCGAAAGATTACCACCAACACCGACATCTAGGATCATCTTCCCCTGGTGGAGGCAGCCCTCGGTGTTGGTGCTGGTGCCCGTTCCTGAGCCTCCGACAGAGCACTCTTAGCCTGCGCGAGGGCCTTTGAGAAGCCCCGCCGCCTTCTGAGAAGGCTCCTTCTCGCTCCCCCCCAGGCGCGCCACCGACCAGCGGTCCGCCGTCCCCCCGGGGGCGTCGCGCCAAAAGCAGGAGCAACATAAACACATACTCAGGAGGGAAAAACACATAGACACAATTCATCGTCGACTCCTTAGAAAAGATGGGGAAATATGGGAAGTGGGGGGGGAGGCGAAAACCCAGGAACCGCCGAACAAATGTTGGGATTTGTGTGTATCTATTTGTGTGTGTGAGTGTGTGTGTGTGAGTGTGTGTGTGTGTGTGTGCGGTGCTGTGTGTGTGTGTGTGTGTTGTGTGTGTGTGTGTGTGTGTGTGTGTGTGTGTGTGTGTGTGTTGTTGTGTGTGTGTGGGTGTGTGTGTGTGTGTTGTGCGTCGTGTGCGTGCGTGCGTGCGTGGTGTGTGTGTGCGTGCGTGCGTGCGTGCGTGCGTGCGTGCGTGTGCGTGGTGCGTGTGTGTGTGTGTGTGTGTGTGGTGTGTCTGTGTGTGAGTGTGTGTGTGGTGTGTGCGTGCGTGCGTGCGTGCGTGCGTGCGTGTGTGTGTGTGTGTGTGTGTGTGTGTGTGTGTGTGTGTGTGCGTGCGTGCGTGTGTGTGTGTGTGTGTGTCCCTGGGCCCCTGTACGTACGGCGGGCGCGATATATAGTCGGCCACGCCTCGGGCCCTGGAGAGCACCGGCCCCCGCCGCTCGACCCCCGGGGCTCCCCGGAAGCAGGTCCTGCTCGGAGTCGGGGTCGGGGCCGCGGGGGCTCGGGCCGTGAGTCGGCGGCGCGCCTTGGGAAGTCTCGGGGTTCGAACCCCGAGGCTCCAAGTTTTCGGACGCTTTCGTGAGTTCTCGGCGGTTTTTCAGCCTCGGGATGCTTGCCAACAGCTGCGCCTCGCCGCGGGCGTTCCGGGCGTGCCCGGATCGTCCTGAACGGCCGCCAGAGACCCGAGTTCCGGAGCCAAGGGAGGGGGTCCCCCCTTAGCTACCCCCCCCCCCCGTCCTTTCCACTGCTGGAAGCCCCCCCTCCCTCCTCCCTTTTTCGCCTCCTCCCCCCTGAAGCTCCCCCTCCCCTCTGCCGGAAGCTACCCCCCCCTTCCCACCTTTGGTTCCAAAGGGGGGGGGGGGGCGGAGGGCCCCCCCCTTCCCCCCCTTTTCCGCACCCGGGCGCTACCAGGGAGCTACCCCCCCCCCCCCTCCCCCCCTAACGAGGGGGGGGCTTACCTTACCCCCCTCTGCAGAAGCTACCCCACCCCTTCCCCCCTTTGGTTCCAAAGGGGGGGGTGGGCTTAGCAGCCCCCCCCCCCTCTCCCGCTTTCGGCACCCGGGAAGCTACCCCCCCTCCCCCCTTACGAAAGGGAAGGGGAGGCTTAGCTAACCCCCCCCCTACTTTGACCCCCCTCTGCGGGAAGCCCCCCTCCCTTCCCTCCATTTTTCTTCCCCTCCCCTCCCCCCTTTCCAAATTGAAAGGGGCGGCTTGGCTGCCACCCCCCTCCCTTGACCTCCCCCTGCCAGACGATCCTCCCCCGTCGCCGTCGTCGTTGCCGTCGCCGTCGCTCGACGTCTTCGTACGACGCCGTCGTCGTCCCCGTCGTCGTTGTCGCCGCCGTCGCCGTGATTGTCGCCGTCTTCGTATGACCTCTTCGTGGTCGTCACAACGAGGACGAAGTCATACTAAGACGGCGACGGACGACGCGCGACCGTCGACCGACGACGACGACCCAGGGTCAGAGAAAACGAGACCACGACCCAGGGGCCGAGAAAACAAGGAAGCGAAGCAGTGTCCGAGAAAACGAGATCACGGCCCAGGGGCCGAGAAAACGAGAAAACGAGAAAACGAAGTCCAGAAAAACGAACCAGTGTCCGAGAAAACGAAACAAAAACCCAGGGGTCGAGAAAACGAGACAACGAACAGGGGCCCGAGAAAATGAGACCACGACCCAGGGGCCGAAACAACGAGAAAACGAGAAAACCAACCAGCGCCCGAGAACACGAGACCACGATCCAGGGGCCGAGAAAACGAGACACCGAGAAAACGAACCAGGGCTTAAGAAAGCGAGCACACGACCCAAGGGCCGAGAAAACGAGAAGACGAGAAAACGAACCAGGGCCCGAGAAAACGAAACAAACACCCAGAAGCCGAGAAATCGAGAAAACGAGACAATGAACCAGGGTCCGAGAAAACGAGATAACGAGCCAGGAGCCGAGAACACGAGAAAACGATAAAAAAAAACACCAAGGTCCGAGCAAACGTGACCACGACCCAGGCCGAGAAAACGCGAATCTCGGTCCTAGAAAACGAGACCACGACCCAGGGACGGAGAAAACGAGAAAACGATAAAATGAATGAGGGCCCGAGAAAACGAGACTACGAACCAGGGGCAGATAACACGAGGAAACGAGAAAACAAACCAGCGCCCGAGAAAACGAAACCACAGCCCAGGGGCGGGGAACACAAGATAACGAGAAAACGAACCAGGGTCAGAGCAAACGAGACCACGACCCAGGCGCCGAGAAACGGAGAACACGAGAAACCGAACCAGCGTCCGAGAAAACGGGACCACGATCCAGGGACACGAGAAAACGAACCAGGGTCAGAGGAAACGAGACTACGACCCAGGGGCAGAGAAAACGAGAAAACGACCCATGAACCGAGAAAACCAAACCATGACCCAGGGGCCGAGAAAACGCTAAAAGGAATCAGCGCCCGAGAAAACGAGACCACGACCCAGGAGCCGAGAAAGCGAGAAAACGAGAAAACGAAACGGGATCCGCGAACACGAGACCACGACCAATGGGCAAAGACAACGCGAAAACGATAAACCAAACAAGGGTCCGAGAAAGTTGGACCACGACCCAGGGGCCGAGAACACAAGAAAACGAGAAAACGAACCAGGGTCCGAGAAAACAAGACCACGACGCAGGAGCAGCGAAAACGAGAAAACAAGACAACGAATCAGGGTCAGAGAAAACGAGACCACGACCCAGGGGCCGAGAACACCAGCAAACAAGACAACGAACCAGGGGCCGAGAAAACGAAACAGAAACCCAGGGGCCGAGAAAACGAGACAATGAACAGGGGCCCGAGAAACCGAGACGACGACCCAGGGGCCGAAACAAGGAGAAAACGAGACAACCGACCAGCGCCCGAGAACACGAGACCACGATCCAGGGGCCGAGAAGACAACACCACAATCCAGGGGCCGAGAAACGGAGAACGCGAGAAACCGAACCAGGGTCCAAGAAAACGGGACCACGATCCAGGGGCACAGAAAACGAGAACGAGAAAACGAACCAGGGTCAGAGGAAACGAGACCACCAGAAAACGAGAAAACGCCCCAAGGGTCGAGATCACCAGAAAACGCTTGGCTCGAGAAAAAAGACCACGACCCAGGAGACGAGAAAACGAGGAAACGAGAAAACGAAGCAAGGTCAGAGAAAACAAGACCACCACCTGGGGTCCGAGACAAGGAGAACACGAGACCACGATCCAGGGGCCGAGAAAATGAGAAAACGCGAAAACGACCCACGACCCAGGGGCCGAGAAAACGAGAAACCGAACCAGGGTCCGAGGAAGCCACGACCCAAGGGTCAAGATCACCAGAAAACGCTTGGCTCGAGAAAACGAGACCACGACCCAGGAGACGAGAAAACGAGGAAACGAGAAAACTAAGCCAAGGTCAGAGGAAACGAGACCACCACCTGGGGGCCGAGACAACGAGAAAACGAGAATACTAACCAGCGTCCGAGAAAATGAGACCACGACCCAGGGGCCGAGAAAACGAGAAAACGAAGCAGGGTCCGAGAAAACTGGACCACGAACCAGGGGCCGAGAAAACGAGAAAACGAGAACACGAACCAGGGTCAGAGTTAACGAGGCCGCGAGTCAGGAGCCGAAACCACGAGAAAACAAGAAACCGAGCCAGGGGTCGAGAAAACGATAAAAGGAATCAGGGCCAGAGAAAACGAGACTACGAACCACGGGGCCGAGAAATCGAGAAACAAGAAAACGAACCAGGGGTCAACGTTATTCTCCAATGCGTTCTCTAGCGCTGCGGTGCGTACCTGTCGTCAGGGATTCCGCCATTTTGCCAGAGCCCCGGAAGGGAGGGGGGGGGAGGTAGCTTCGGAAGCCCCCCCCCCTTTGCAAAGCAGGGAGGGGGATAGCTGGAAGCCCTCCCCCCTCTGTGCCCAGACCAAAAAAAGAAGGATGGGGGGGGTAGCTTCCGAAGCCCCCCCCCCCCTTAGAAAGGGAAGCCCGGGCTCACCTTCTGCTCCGGAAGAGGGGGGGAAGGGGGGGGATAGCTTCGAAGCCCCCCCCCTCTTTAGCCAGGGCCCCCCTAGCGTAGAAACCCTTACAGAAGGGAGGGGGGGGCGGGGTAGCTTCGGAAGCTCCACCCCCCCTTTGGAAGGGAGGGGGGGGGAGATAGCTTGAAGCTGGGGCCCCCCTTTCCGTATTCCCGGCGCTGCGGGCGCGCTCTATCACATGTCGCATGTTTGGGTCCGAGAGTTTGGCACGCGCACCGGGCGAACCACCACCAGGAAGACGTCAGGATCGTCCTCCCTTCGGCTACGCGTGAGAGGGGTCCTTCGCCAGAGTGACCTTCGGTGTGGGCTCACGGGTGGCACGGCAGCATTGGCTCCGCGCTTGGATCCCCCCCAGCGGCCCCATCAAGCCGCGCGCCAGGGATGACTCTCGTCCAGGGTCATTATTGCGCGTGGCCGACCTCCTGCCTTAGAAGGGGACATCGGAGGAGGAGGAGGAGGAGGGTGAGGAGGGGCCTGCCACGTGCGAGGAGGGGGAGGAGGGGGAGGAGGGGGAGAGGGGAAGGAGGAGGAGGAGGAGGAGGAGGAGGAGGAGGAGGAGGAGGAGGAGGAGGAAGCCTCCCCTTGATCTGTCCCCTACGAGCCCCATCGACACCTGCAGGGCTGCGCCCACCCTCAAGGGCATCAGCGCTGCACTGCAATCCCCCTCCTCGTCCCTCCCCCTGCTCCCTGGGCCCCAGGTCGCATTCTTCAAGGAGAACGCCGGGGGCTTCGACCTGCTCACGGACGAGAACGTCGGGGCCTTCGTGCAGGCCCCTTCCAAGAGGGGGGGAGGGCGACGTCCCAGCCAAGCTAAGTCGGGCATGTCCTTCTGCAGGAATAATTTTCACAACCAGTACAACAAAATAGTATGGGGGCGATTTCCCGATTGGTTTTGACAATGTTTGAAGAGTTGTGGTTTTTTTCGTTTCTTCCCAAATCCGCCTGTAGGAGGACGTGCCCGACCTAACAGTAAGGCGGGGGTACGTCCCGGCCACGCCTCGCGGAGGGGCGGAATGCCGCTGCTCGCGCCAGTGCCGCCAGGGGATGGGCCAGGGTCAACCCGGGTTGCACCCAGTAAGTGCCGGGCTTGGGTTATTGATACAGTAGGAATCATTGACATTGTTTCGTAATAGTATCATTATAGCCATAACTGTAACCTCCACCATGGTTGTGGTTGATGGCTTACCAGACATCATTAATCATTACTTACACGATTACACGTCCAACCAAGGTTGAGGTTATAGTTATGGTTATAGTTGAAACTATCTCCATTCAAAGATATTAATTCATGGTGGATGTTCTACTTATGGTTTTGGTTACAGTTATAAGTATTGCATTTGATAGTACTAATGCCCAGGTTGTGGTTATGGTAATGGTTATGGTAACAGTTATCTCCTTATCAGTGTGGTTACTCGACCACCAAGCTCATCTATCGTTGTGGTCATACTTCACAGGTTCTGCATCTGGTTGTTATGGCTACAGTTAATTCTAGTAAGAGTCAGTAATCATGATTCCCAGGTTGTGGTTATGGTGTTGGTTATGGTTATAGATCTCTACTTGTATGTTTTTTACACGACCACCAAGCTCATTTTCGTGCCGGTCATATCTCACAGGTTCTGCATATCGTTATGGTGTTGGTAATAACTATATTATTGAAGTGGGATTATTTGATGATCAAACGCAATGTTTCATTGGCGGAGGTTATTGTACTCATACTTCACCGGTTCTGGCAATGAGCATGGTTATAGTTATAGTTATGTTTTTTATACCTTGTTATGATTCAACCACCCAGCTCACTTGTTTCCTGGTGTCATTACTTTCTCTGGGGGTACTTGTGGTTATAGCTGAAGATGTGTGAGGCAATACTTGCAGGTTGATTGTACGAATGTCGTTCTGACCCCAGTAACCATAGTTCCCAGGCTGTGGACATGGCTATGGTTGTGACGACGTTAGTTTCGTGCAACTATTAGTTTTGCAAAACCCAGCGCGATGTTATCCAGGGGGAGTTTAGTGTTCGGGTTATCTGTAATGTATTCCTGGGGAAGTTTAGTGTTAAGTTTAGTGTAAAGGCTATCTCATTTACAGTATCCATGATTCCACATACCAGATCACTTATCCCTCTTGTCCTGGACCCCATAATTTAAGTCTACTTGTAGTTTGATTGTTCATACTGGAAGTAATCGGAATGAGGAGGTTCCGCTCACGCGACTCCAGTTTAAGTCGTGCGCATGTTGGCTGCTGCAGGGCAGGCAAGCGTGCGGGCGTGCGCGTGCATGAGAGTGTTAGTGCGTGTGTGTATGCGTGTGTTTGCGTGGTGGAGTGGGGGAGAGGACGATTCGCACCCGCTGGGGGCCTAGATCGGTCTGGTGGTCTCTTGTTCCACCAGGCATGCGAGGCGCAAAAATGCGCGCGGAGGGTGGAGCGAAGAGTCGGAGGGAGGAGGGAGGAACGACGAGTCGAAGGGAGGAGCGACGAGTCGGAGGGAGGATGGAGGAGTGAGGAGTCGGAGGGAGGAGCGAGGAGCCGGAGGGAGGCTAGGGGGGGGGGAGGAGGAGGAGGAGGAGGAGGAGGAGGAGGAGGAGGAGGAGGAGGAGGAGGAGGAGGAGGAGGAGGAGGGGAGGAGGAGGAGGAGGAGGAGGAGGAGGAGGAGGAGGAGGAGGATGGAGAGGAGGAGGAGGAGGAGGAGGAGGAGGAGGAGGAGGAGGAGGAGGAGGAGGAGGAGGAGGAGGAGGAGGAGGAGGAGGAGGAGGAGGAGGAGGAGGAGGAGGAGGAGGAGGAGGAGGAGGAGGAGGAGGAGGAGGAGGAGGAGGAGGAGGAGGAGGAGGAGGAGGAGGAGGGGAGGAGGGGGAGGGGGAGGGGGAGGGGGAGGGGGAGGGGGAGGGGGAGGGGGAGGGGAGGGGGAGGGGGAGGGGGGAGGGGAGGGGAGGGGGAGGGGGAGGGGGGGGGGAGGGGGAGGGGGAGGGGGAGGGGAGGGGGAGGGGGAGGGGAGGGGGAGGGGGAGGAGGGAGGAGGAGGAGGAGGAGGAGGGAGGAGGAGGAGGGGGGATGATGTGAGGAGTGAGGCGTCAGAAGGAGGATGGAGTAGTGAGGACTCCGCCAAATAGAAACGACTCCCCACGACTCCGCCAAATAGAAACGACTCCCCACATACCCCCGCGGAGTGGTTTCCATTTGGCGGGGTCTCTTCTATTTGGCGGAGTCGCCTCCGCCAAATTGTCCTGGGGGGTCCTCGGGGGTCCTGGGGCGTCCTTGGGGTCCTGGGGGGCACAGGGGTCTCCTGCGGGTTCCTGGGGGGCCCTGGGGGGTCTTTGGGGGTGCTACGGGGTCCGGGGTGATCCTGGGCGTCCTGCGGGGTTCTTGGGTGCCTTGGGAGATCCTGGGTTGTCCAGGGGGGCCCCTCGGGGTCCTGAGGGGGGGGCACAGGGGTCCCTGCGGGGTCTTGGTGGGTCCTGTGGGGTCCTTCCGGGGGTCCGCTGTCCTGTCTCCTGCGGGGGGGGGAGCCTGCGAGGTCCGCCACATGGAAACGATTTCTCCAAGCATTTCGGCTGGTTTGGCGGGGTCGTTTCTAGTTGGCGGAGTCGACTCTGCAAAATAGAAGTGCCTCCGCCAAATAGAAGCGGCCCCGCCAAATAGAAACGACCCCGCGGGGAATCGAGGGGAGTCTTCGGGGGTCGCTTCTATTTGGCGGAGTCGTTTCTATTGGGGGGAGCCGACTCCGCAAAATCGAAACGACTCCGCCACATAAAAACGACCCCCCCACACACGACTCCCCGCGGAGTTCTTTCTATTCGGCGGAGTCGTTTCTATTTGGCGGAGCTGGCTCCGCAAAGTGGAAACGACCCCGCCAAATAGAAACGACCCCACGATTCCCCGCGGAGTTTTTCTATTTGGCGGAGTCGCTTCCATATGGCGGAGTCGTTTCTATTAGGCTGACCCCCCAGGACCCTGTGGGACCCCCAAGGGCCCCCTGGGGCCCCCAGGACCCCCCAAGACACCCCAGGACTTCCCATGACCTTCCAGGCCCTCCGAGAAGCCACCACGATGAGCCCCCAATGACCCCGCAGGACACTGCAGGCCTCCGCAGGTCCCCCTGGGCCCCGCCTAGGACCGCGCAGGACCCCCCCAAGACCCCGCAGGACCCTCCAGGACCCAGCAGGTTCCCGCAGGACAGAACGAGCTGGAAAAGACGGGCGCCCCCGCGCCGATCCCACTTAGGGGGAGGTAGGCTCAGGGGGGGGGATGCATCGACCCCCAATCACCCACTGAGGCGCCGCAGCGTTGTGGTTCCTCCCCGGAGGGTGACGACGTCTCGTCGTCGCCGACGTCGCTGCGTCGACGTCCTCGTCGGCGTCGACGTCTTCGCTTGGGAAATGCTTTTGTTTTCCCATGTTCTGGAACCAGATGTCCGACGCCGTGTTTGTTCGCCGATCCGGGCGTCTTTCTCTGTTGGCCTCGGCCTCCGGGGCCCGTTTTCGGGCCCCAGGGCCAGCCAGAGTGGGATCTGGGAAGGATGATCTTGTCTCGGAGGGCACCAACTATACACCAACACCGATCCTGGCCCAGGATGACCCTGGGCCCAGGATCGGTGTATATGCCTTCTTGCCCAAGGCAGGAGGGCGTATACACCGATCCTGGGCCCAGGGTGATCCTGGCCAGGATCGGTGTTGGTGTATAGTTGGTGCCTTCCTATTGTCCCCCCGCGGAGAGGCGGTGCCTCCGCTCTCCCCCCCTGCCCTCCCCCCGCGCCACCCCGCAGGTGCGTCGTCCGTCGCCCCCCATGATGGGCTTGTTTTCCACCACCATCATAAGTTGGAGGGGGGAAGGAGGATAACGAGGAGGAGGAGGAGGAGGAGGAGGAGGAGGAGGAGGAGGAGGAGGAGGAGGAGGAGGAGGAGGAGGAGGAGGAGGAGGAGGAGGAGGAGGAGGAGGAGGAGGAGGAGGAGGACCCCCTCCCCCTCCAACTTATGGTGGTGGTGGTGGAAAACAGGCTCATCACCCCAGCCGTGTCCTCGCAGCACCACCGAGGCGGGTGCGTACCCCGTGGCAGGAGAGGGGCAGGAGCCCAGACCCCCTCGCGCTGTGAAGCGAAGTCACGACGCGGTGCTTTCTCTGTCTTCTGCCTCCGGGCAGGGCTCGAGCGAAGCGGTGTTTTGGCAATTTCGTGGACCGTTGTCGTTTCGACTTCGTTTTGCAGCAAGTGTGGAACGAAGACAGAACTGGGGATGACGAAAGCAGAACGAAAACGGAAAGCACTGTTTAACTCAAGCCCTGCCTCCGGGGGCCTGTCCTGGGCCTCGGGGCCGTCAGAAAACGATGCGGGGTGAAAAGCCGGTCCTGGGGAATGGGGTCCAGACCTCTGGGGGTCGACATTTGGGGAACAAGTCACGATGTCGGCGGTCTGGGAAGGCGGCAGGAGAGCGGCAGGAAAACGGTGCGCGGGTTGCGCAGGCAAGCGGCATGGCAGCGCCAAAGTCCCCCCGTCCACGGAGCACACATCAGGGTCATCAGGGTGGCGCCGGGTGTCTTTGCCTTGGGCCCTCCGCTTATTCCCCGAGCGGTTCCTCCCTTGCTTTTCATTACCGCCCAGGGGCGGCTCATCCTCGACGTCGTGATCTCGTTCCCTTGCCCTCGTCGTTCTCCTCGTCCGCGTTCTCCTCCGCCTCCTTCCCGTCGTTCGGGTCTCTTGCCAGACATATGTCGGAGCCTCGCCTCGCCTTCCTGTAGCCACTTTGGCGAGGGCCCCCGAGCGTCAGCCAGCCTTGCCCCCCCCTCGGCGGCGCCGAGCCCCCCGCTGGAAGCCAGCGCTCCTGCTTCCAAGGCGCCATGTCCACGCCGCAGATCGAGGGGGCGAAGCCGTCCTTCCTGTCGCGGATGGGCTCTCGAGGAAACGCAAATGTAAATTGAGGCGCGTGGAATAGCGACGGGTCTCGCTTACATTGGCCTGCATGCAGAATCGACGCGCTCCGTCGCCAAAGCAGGCGGTACTGGCATCGCACTTCTGGAGCAGGTCCCCCGATCCATGGATCTAGCGCCCACGCGCCAGATCCACAGATCCCTAGTTCATGTTAGCGTGTGCCCGAGGCTCCAAGGTCACCACCCTCGTCGCGAGCAACCTGAAGCCGGGCACCGCGATCTACTCCGTGATGTTCGGCGCCGCCGCGGGAGTGCTGCTGTCTGGGGTGGTGTACGCCGGACGCACTTTCAGCGTGATGTGTTTCGACCACGAGTACTACAAGGTGCAGAGCCGCAAGCGCTACTACGAGAAGCAGCTGCTCTTCATGCGGGAGCAGGAGGAGGCCCAGAGCGCGCACTACTACGCGGCGCTCGCTGGAGAGTACGATCCGGTGGCCACGCGCATGCCCTTCAAGAGCCTGGAGAACAAGTACCGGTTCTGAGGGCCCGGCGCAGCTTATACAGATGACCTCGGAGGGCTGCGCGAGGGCCCTCCGACGGGAGAAGGTGGAGGCGGCACCTTCTCCGGGAGCCGGAGGAGGAGGAGGAGGAGGAGGAGGAGGGGGAGGAGGAGGAGGAGGGACTTCAACCGTGGCGAAGCGTCTTGACCTGCCTCTAGGGTCACAAACTGATTGTCGAACTACCTGTCGTGGTTTGAACGCACTGTTCGTGTATCATTTCTGGTTGGGACAGTCCTGTTATGCCAGGAGAACGCTGGTTCTGAGCATAAAACAACATTCTTTTGTTCTAACAGCATTTCGCGGTAGGCCTGTAGAAGTGCCACGACGGCCAATCTTTGCTCAAAGGGGCAGCAGCAGCACGGGGAACAGGGGGGACACGGGCAAATATGAGAGAGGAGGAGGTCGTGAGGGAGCAGCAGCAGCAGCAGCAATAGGAGGAGCAGCAGGGAAAACGTTGAGGTCGGTGCCAATGGGGCCAGATGTGCTTTCAACTCCCCGCCGTGCTCTTGCCTTCCTTTCCCGCCGCTGCCCCGAGGCCTGTCGCGAAGTCTTCGGGCAGATGGAAGAGGAGGTGAAGGACCCGGGCGGGGAGGAGAAGATGATGGCGGAGGATGAGGATTTTGGAAGCCGATTAATGGAGAGAAAGCATGCTGCCAGACAAATCCAGATGTCCAAAACATGTTTCAAACATGTTTTACCATATAATAACACGTTGGAAACATTTTTAGAACACGTTTTACACAGTTTAAACACATGCTCAATTCAATGATCGGATTGTTCGAGTGTCCATGGTCATGGCATCCACAGGAGGAGGAGAAGGAGGAGGAGGAGGAATGGCGAAGAGAGATTGATCAGTCGGACGGGAAGAGGCGGGGGGAAACGAGGACGAGGAGGACGAGGTTGATGAACAGGAGGAGCAGGCGGCGGAGGAGGAAGATGGGGAAGGGGAGGATTAGGACTGAGGGGCGTACGAGGAGGAGGAGGAGGAAAAGGAGCAGGATAAGAGGCGAGGGAGAGGGGGAGGGAGGGAGGAAGGAGGAGAAAACTGATGCCGATGAGGAGGATCGGCAGGAGGAGGAGGAGGACATCGAGGACGTGGAGGCGAAGGACCAGACGACGACGAGGGAAGCAGAGTGGTTAGAGAAAGGGAGGGGGAGAGGAGGAGGAGAAGGAGGAGGAGGAGGAGGAGGAGGAGGAGGAACGAAGAACCACCAACGTACGACGGACTAACGAACGGCGTGCGACGAACGAGCGACCGACGCAGACGACGGACGAACCAACGAGGAACGACCGAGTGTCGACCAACGGAGGACCGATGAACGAAGGACGAACGATGGGCGACCGACGCAAAAGCGAAGATCGAAGACGGCGAAAAACAAAGGACGAACGACGATCAGGACGACGATAGGGTCGATTAACGAGTGTCGGTACGATGAGCGACCGACGAAAGCGACAACGGACGACGACCTTCCAGTGGTGATCGGGCTCGTACGCCGCATGGGCCCTGGGCGAGCCAGACCGGCGCGGAGGCGGAAGACGACGGCGTCGACGACGATGAAGAGCGACGACGATGAAGAGCGACGACGATGAAGAGCGACGACGACGACGATGGCAGCGACGACGAATGCGGTGGCAGGGACGAGGAAGCGGAGGGTGGTGGCGACGTGGAAGACGGGAGTGACGAAAAGGACGAGGAAGAAGAGGAAGATTCGAACGGTGGCGACAACGAAAAGGATGAAAGGACCTCGAATGAAGATGACTATCAGGATGGAAACCCGTACAGGGAGGAGTAGGTGGGGAAAAAGGTAGCAGCAGGAGGGAAGGTGGGAGGTGGAGGAAGACGATGAAGCTACGAGGTAACGAAAGTGTCGCATGTGGAGGAGGTGGAGGCGGAGATGGGGGGAGGGCAGGAGGAGGAGTAGGAAGAGGAGACAGGAGAAGGAGGAAGAGGGGGGGAGCTGGAGGATGAGGAGGAAGGAGGAGAGTCGAGGAGGAAAGAAGAGGGTGGCTAGAGGAGGCAGATGAGGAGGATGAGGAGGAGGAGGAGGAGGAGGTGGCGACCAGACCGATCGTCGCCAAACGGTTGAGCCTCCCCGCTCTTTGAAGCTCGATCGGCCTCCTCGCAGTCGTTCTTTTTCGCCCCGCCAACCTGGGAGGCCTCTTTTTTTCCCTCCATCCAGTACCTCGGTTGCTCCCAGACGGTGCGGTAACCACACCGTGTGGTGAGTCAGTAGGACTTGGGTCGTTCTCCGAGGAAGTCTTGGGCGACGGGCCTTCGAGGTCTCAAAGCCGTGCGGTGACGGACCGTTCGGTGAGGTCGTTGTGGATATAAAGATCACCGCGCGATCTTTCACCGAACCATTCCTGGACCCCCACGCGTTTCTCCTCGGCACGCTCCTCTTCCGTGCTCCTGTTTCGGAAAGCGCGCCACTGGATCAACCTGTAATTGAAAAGGGGGGGGGGGTCGGACCCCCCCTACCCCTCCCCCCCTTCAAAGGGGGGGGGGAGATTTTCGACTCCTCCCCCTCCCCCCCTTCGAACCCCCCCCCCCCTTGAAGGGAGGGGTGGGGTTCCGGACCCCCTCCTTCCCCCCCTTGGCGGAAAGGGGGGGGGTGAACCCCCCCCCCTCCCTTCCTCTGCGCCGACCAGGGGGCCCGGGAAGGGGCCTCTCCCGCAAGGGGGGGAGGTTGGACCTCGGGATAGTGAGTAGTGAGTAGAGAGTCGTGAGTAGTGAGTAGTGAATAGTGAGTAGTGAGTAGATAGTAGCGAGTAGTGAGGAGTGAGTAGTGAGTAGTGCGTAGTGAGTAGTGAGTAGTGCGCAGTGAGTAGTGAGTAGTGAGTAGTGAGTAGTTCGCAGTGGGTAGTGGGGAGTGGGTAGTGAGTAGTGAGTAGCGAGTAGGCAATAGCGAGTAGTGACTAGTGAGTACCGAATGGGGCATTGGGAGTAGTGAGGAGGGAGTAGCGAGTAGTGAGTAGTGAGTAGGGAGTAGCGAGTAGCGAGTAGGGAGCAGCGAGTCGTGAGTAGTGAGTAGTGAGTAGGGAGTAGTGAGTAGTGAGTTGTGCGAAGTGAGAAGTGGGTCGTGAGCAGCGGTTAGTGCGTAGGGAGTAGTGAGTAGAGAGTAGTGAGTAGTGGGTAGTGAGTCGCGAGTAGTGGGTAGTGAGTACTGAGTAGTGGGTAGTGACTTGTGACTTGTGATTAGTGGCTAGTGAGTAGGGAGCAGTGAGTAGTGAGTCGTGCGTAGTGGGTGGTGGATATTGCGCATCGGGTTGCGAGTAGCGAATAGGGAAGAGCGGGTAGGGAGTAGTGAGCAGTGAGTATTGTGTAAGCAGTATGGAGTAGCGAGTAGCGAGCAGCGGATAGTGGGTAGTGAGTTGTGGGCAATACGTAGGGAGTAGTGAAATCTGTATAGTCAGCAGTGAGTAATGGATAGTGGTCAGTGGGTGGTGAGTAGTGATTAGTGAGTAGTGAGTAGTGGGTAGTGAGTAGTGTTTAGTGAGTAGTGAGTATTGAGTAGTGGGTAGTGTAGTGAGTAGTGAGTCGTGCGTTGGGGGTAGTGAGTAGTCAGTAGTGGGTAGTGGGTAGAGATTTGTGGGTAGTGAGTCGTGAGTAGTGAGCAGTGAGTAGTGAGAAGTGAGTAGTGAGTAGCGAGTAGTGAGTAGTGGGTAGTGAGTAGCGCGTAGTGAGTAGTGAGTACTGTTTGGTGCTAGGGTTAGGATTCGGGCTTCGGGTGAGGGGTTGGGGGTTAGGGCGAGGATTGGTGTTAGGAGTGGTAGGGGTCGGGTTGCGCAGCCCGGGGGCGCCGTGGCGAAGGGGGGGGGGGAGCTTTGAATTTGGCGGCCAAAGAGGGGGGGGAGGGGCGGGGGGGTCCCCGACGACGGACCGGGAAGGGGGGGGAGGGGGGGGGGGTCCCCGACGACAGATCGGGAAAGGAGGGCGAGAGGTTCCCCGACGACGGATCGGGGAAAAAGGGGGGGAGGGGTTCCTACCCCCCCCCCTTAGGGAGATCCAAGGGCGCGCCTTCCTTGTTTCGTCCGCAGGCCTTTCTTCCAATGGCCCCGGGGCCGAAGCGAGCTTCCAGAGGCCCAGATCACAGGACAGATCGCCGCCACGAGTTGCTTCTCTTGGCGAGAGAGGTCTGGGGCCTTCCTTCCTCCGGCTGCCTTCTCCTGCGGCAGAGCCGGGGGTGGTTGGAGAGCGGAGCGCAGAGTGCCGTCCAGCCTGGCAGAGCCGGCCTCTGCCGCGGCATACCACGTGCTCTCGCGTGCGGCTCCTCGTCTGGCTGCGTCCCCCAGGGGCCGCTGCGCCCGAGGGCGCCAACTACAGTGGGGGCGCGCATCAAGACACCGTATGCTTTTCGTCAGGATATACTGGGTTTCTTCGCTACTCGCGCTGCGCGGTGACTTCCCGCAGCCGTTGAAGGAGCTGCTGCGTTCAGGGTGCTCCAGGTTTCCCCTCAGGTGCACCTCGCGCACGGGTTCCCAGGGTTGGATTTCTTGCGAGGGTTTCTTGCGGCCGCGCCCGCACTGTATACACCTGCGCCAATTCTGGCCAGGCCCATCTTGGACCCAGGACTGGCGAAACCGCCCGTCTGGCTTGGGCAGGAAGGCATATACACAGATTTGGGGTTCAGAATCGGTGCAGGTGTACAGTTGGCGCCTTCCGAGCTGGGCTGGGCTCGAGAAGGCCGGCGCTGTCGCCGTCGTCGTCCCCATACCTCCGATACCGTGTTTCTTCTGTCTCAGTGCTTGGTCCCGGAGCGTGATTCTTTATTGGGCATGATGGGCATTATAGCCCCCAGCCCCCCCTCCCCCCCCCATGACGTAACGCCCCTCCCCCCCAGGGCGCTCCGGGCACTGCCGCCGTGCGCACGGCGCGGGGGAGGCGTTACATTATACCCCCCCCTATCGCCGAGAATAAAGAAACGCGCACCTTCCCAAGGACTGGTTGTTCGTCCCAGGCCTCTCTTGGGCGGTCTTGGGTCCCGACACGCGCCCCCTCCGACCCCGAAGCACGGAATGCCTTGCCGCCCTGATTTGTTCAAGACGTGGAGGCTTTGGTCTTCATCGTTGTCGTCGCTCGGCCTCGCGGTCGTCGCTCGTCGTCGTCGCTTGCCGTCGTACCTCGCGCTTGTCGTCGTATCTGCTGATGAGCCTGTTTTCCACCACCACCCTTATAGTTGGAGGGGGAAGGAGGAGGAGGGCGAGGAGGAGGAGGAGGAGGACGAAGAGGAGGAGGAGGAGGAGGAGGCGGAGGAGGAGATGGAGGAGGAGGAGGAGGGAGGAGGAGGAGGAGGAGGAGGAGGAGGAGGAGGAGGAGGAGGAGGAGGAGGACGAGGAGGAGGAGGAGGAGGAGGACCCCCCCCCAGCGAAAATGTGGTGGTGGTGGTGGTGGTGGTGGTGGTGGTGGTGGTGGTGGTGGTGGTGGAAAACGCGCCCATCATCTGCGGCGCAGGAGCGCCTGGGATCGATGCTGGAGCAGGGGCGGCTCCAGGACACACCGCCCCCGTGCCGCTCTCGCTGCCAGTGCCAGCTTGGCAGTCGCGCGTTGGCCCCGGCGGGGGGTTTCTCGTGAGTTTCTTTTCGTCTTATAGAAGATCGGCGTCATCCCAACATACTGATACTATATGTGTTCGTCCCCCCATGGGCGACGCGCGCACCGAGAAGTCTTATAGTATATGCGTCGTGGCGGGCACTTTCTGGCCACACCGCTCGGGAAACGATATACTACAAGATGGGTATACTGTGTTCGGGTCGGACGCGCGCCTCCAAGGAGGACATATGGTATTCACATATCTCTGTGCGTCCCAAGAAGAGGCCCCCCTTCCAAGGCGTCGGGCCTTTCGACGGAGAGGCCCCCGGCCCTCCTGGAGGGCCCCCCCCCCGCCCCGCCGATAAGCTTGCAGTGCTGCACGGCGCCCGTGCGGGCCAGACTCCGGAGGCCATGCCCTCGGCCGCCTTGTCTCACCTATCGGTCAGGGCGGGCAGGACGGTTGCCCGCAGCGGTGGTCGTTCGTTCGCTCGTTCGCCCCCCCCCCCCCCCCCCTTCTCAGAGGGGAAGCCTGGACCTGAGAGGAGGACAAGGAACCCATAATTACCTCAACCCTTTCCTCGTTTTCCCCTTTTTGGGCCTCGGAGGTCCTCGTCGCCACCGCTGGATTCGCCTCGGAATTTTGGTCAGAACGCACCCCGGGAGAGGTCCCCGGAGTAGTGGCATCGGTACCCTCTGGTTTCCCCAGGACCACCGCCACCCCTGACCTTCCAGAGTGAAAAAAAATAGCCCTCCAGATCTATAGAGCTATCCAGGCTGCTTAAAACCCCGACAGATATTTGTATGTCGAGATCCTGGTGTTATCTTTGGGCCTTCCCAGGAGGTCAGCACGGAGAACCCATCTGGGGGGGCGGCCGACCCCTGGGAGGTGGCACGCCTGCGCGCCGCCCGGTGCTGGGTGCCGCTCGGGCGCGCCACCGCCCAAGGGCCGGCCCCCTAGTTACCGATGGGTTCTCGGGGGCGGTGGTCCCGGCATTCTCCTCGGACCCTCGCCTGGCCCTGCCCTGCCAAGAAGGGCCTGGCCTTCGAGGGTCGCAGGAGTTGTCATCTCCTCCTCGGCGGAAGGTCGGCGGGGGGCGGCGGGGAAGTAGAACGAGGCCGCCTCCGCGGACGGAAGCCGGCGGAAGTAAAAAGTTGCTCTCCAAGAGATGACAACATTTCTGGGTTCCGGGTTTCCGACTTCGGCCATGTAGAGAGGAGTTGCCACGTGGCTTCGTGGCGCCCCGTGCCCTCGAGCGGCTCGATCACCGCGCCCCGCGCTTGCGCCCTGCTTGCCTTCCGGGCGAGGTGGTGGTCTCGCATCGATCGCGTGCCAGCCTTGAGCGTATGCATTGAGAGCTGCTCGCATCAGAGGCTTGCGCCTGTTGCGGTGGCTCACGTCTTGGTAGATGACTTCTTGGGACAGGTTCCGTTTTGGATTGACGTCGTGGCCAAAGGAGGGATTGTTGGTGGATGGTTGTTCGTTCTTCGGCTTGCTGCCGTTCTACGCGGACGCGTGAAACAGTTGCGCCTTCCTGAGCACCCGTGGGGGCGCCCGAATTGCAACCTCAAGGAACGTTGTGTGCTCGATGGGCAGGACGGCTGCATTCGGGCTGCTATCTGCGTGTGCGCTCACGCATGTGCCTTGGGAGTCCATTGGCCGAGTGTAGCTGAGGAGCAGGTTGGGCACCGAATGGGAGTCGACGACTTTCCTCTCCTCTCGGCCCTTGTCTCCCTGCCTCAGGTCCAAGTGTCGAAATGCGAGGTGTGCGCCATAACCCATAGTAGCGTGGGATGCTCTCTGCGTCGTGGCGATCTCAGCTCCGATTTTATCGACCAGGATGCGCGCGGAGGGGGGATGGAGGTGCAACGGGGACCATGGCCATGTCGGGAGGGAGCAACTGCAGCAGGAGAGCTTGTGTTTCGGCCTCCCCGCTTGCCTGTGCCGCCTGTTGGCGGACTCGGTGTGCGATATGTGGTGCTGGGGCGTTCTCAAGCATACGAGCGATGAGGCGGTTGATCTCCCTCCTGGCCTTGCCCACTGGAGGCCTCTGGACCCGTTTTTGACGTAGGTCCGAGGCCTCTCTGCACGTCCCGGGTGGCGGTTGGCGGAGACCTTTGATGTCACAAAAATTTTGCGTTTGTGTCGTGCTCCTTTTTTTCTCACCATCCTAGAAGAGGCTGCGTACTCATCGGCCTTCAGTCAGCGAGCGAGCGAACGAGCGAACGAGCGAGGAGGAGGAGGAGGAAAGTAAGGAGGAGGAGAAAGGGGAGGAGAAGGAGGAGGAGGAAATGGAGGAAGAGGAGGAGGAAGAGGAGGAGGAAGAGGAGGTGGAGGAGGAAGAGAAGGAGGAGGAGGAGGAGGAGGAAGAGGATGAGGAGGAGGAGGAGGAACAGGAGGAGGAGGAGGAGGAGGAACAGGAGGAGCAGGAGGAAGGGGACGAGGTGGAGGAGGAAAAGGCAGATGAGAGAAGGGCGACGGAGGGCCCTGCACCGCGCCGCGTCTTGCTCGAGCCGCACTCCGCGCTCCCAGTGCTTGGCGCTAGCCCTCAGCCCCCCCTCGCCCCCTCGGGGACCTCGGGGCGCCACTGGCGCGCAGCATGGCTTCGGCGGTGCCCGAGACGGAGATCAGGGAGGTGTTCAAGCTCTTCGATTCGGAGGGCGGCGGCATCAAAATCAAGGATCGCGGAGGGGGAGGTGGATGATGATGAGGAGGAGGAGGAGGAGGAGGAGGTGGAGGAGGAGGAGGAGGAGGGGCGGGGAGTTCTCTCTCCCGTTGGACCACCACTGTGAGTTTGCAGTTTCACGATTGTGCTTCCTGGGATCATCGTGGGGAAAGGTAAGGCGGGGGTTGTACTGCACTGTTTTTCGCCCCCGCCTGTCCGTGTCCTGAATTCACGAGGACGGTTCGGAACCGTCCAGCGAGCGCAGCAGCAGGAGGTGGAGGGATCCAGGGTTGAGGATCGATGTTGTTGGACGTTGTTACGTTCGGGGGCGTTTGCTTACCGCGTCGCGCTGCTTCTTCTGGCCCACCGCGCTTCGGCGCGACACGCGAATCACGTCCCAGGTCCCAAGCGTCAACGCCCCGGTCATTTCTGAGCCTCTTGCCCCGCGGAGCGGAGCGACAAGCTACCCGCTCGCAGGGCATGATTAGTGTGTCGCCAGAGCCGCCGCCGCGACACGCTAAGCAAAAGTACCAGACTTCGGATGACTTCGGGCCTTCCTGGAGGACCCCGTGGAGGCCTCCTGGGCCGTCTCGGAGGCCTCTTGGGCGCCTCTTGGGCCGTCCTGGGCTGTCTCGGGCCACCATGGGAGGCGTCTTGGACCCTCTTGGCGGCTTCTTGGGCCGCCTGTGGGGGCTTCTTGGGCCATCCTGGCGGTCGTGGAGGCATCCTCCCGCTCGTTCGCTCCCCCTGCTCGCTCCTCCTCCTCCTCCTCCTCCTCCTCCTCCTCCTCCTCCTCCTCCTCCTCCTGCTGCTCCTCCTCCTCCTCCTCCTCCTCCTCCTCCCTTTCCTCCTCCTCCTCTCCCTCCCCCTCCCCCTCCTCCTTCTGTAGAAAAACCGACCAGTCGTCTAGCACGCCAGCCACCTTTGTGGCAAACCACAGGGAGCGGCGGATCGAAGACGCCTACGGCGAATCACCGCCGCCCCCTGCTTTTCAGGAAACGCGTATGTGGCCAAATGTTTGGGCAAAGCTTGGCCACGCTGTTGGGCAATGCGTTCCCCCAGTCGTTGTGGAAGCCTTTCGTGGAACGCGTAGGGGAAGAAGAGGAGAAGCGCCAGTTGTTCGTGGACAGCGGTGCTCTCATCCGCTCGTGGCCACGTCGCAGTATAAGCACGCGGGTATTTTCACGCGTTGCACAGACACCATGCAACCTGAGACAAATGCGAAGATGAATGCAATGAGGGGGACTTCTGAGCAGATCCGTCCAAGCATTCTGAACCGCATGTCTGTGAACGTCGAGAGGCGCATCATGGTATGCCAAGGGCTTCGTTATATTTTAGTGAAATGGTTCAACTACTGCAGGGATGTAATATCACCTGCTCACGCTTTCGTTGCCTTCCACGGTTCTTTTGTCGCCCCAGCTATTGATACTATACAGGCGGCTGCGTCTTTTAGTGAGGGTCTGCGTTGGGGGCGCTCATGAGTTGTGTATTGCGTGTTCGCCCACACTGATGGTCTGCGGAGGTTGTGGTTGCAGGTTGTTGTTGACGGCTTACTGATGCTGTCGTCCACCTCGGAGGCTTTCGCCTCCTTCAATGCCGCGTCACTCCAAGAGTAGATCGCCGTGGTCAGGGACAACTTGCGGCGCGTCAAGACAGTTCTGCGGGGTGCCACATCGGAAAGGTCCGTCGATGATGTCTCCGCGTGGGCTAAGACGACGTGGGTTGCTGAAGTGGACGCGGCTGTCTCGTGCACTCGGTGCGATTGCAATCTCAATTATCGCCAGCAATTGGCCCAACCTGCTTTTAGTGTGCATGGGGTTGGGGAGCTAACCTGGGAGTGTGTAATTTTGAGACGGACTACGGTCCCGCTTATGATAATAATTTCCCCCCCCCGGAAAGCTGGCCCAGCGTTTCTTAACCAGTTTGCCGGGAAGCTGGCTCAGTTTCTTAAGAGGATCGGTAGCTTTGGATCCTAAAAATGAATCTTGGCTCCAAGAGTTGGCCCAGCGTTTGCTTAAGAAACTTATGAAAAATTGGCCCAGCGATCCTTGATTGATAATTGTTTAATCATATGTTTGACTGTACTGCCCCACGTATTTGCAACGCTTCCATTACAGAAGGCGCGTGGTCGAGCATATTGGAGGGAGAAATCGAGCGGCGGAGCGGGCCGCGGATTGACGAGGCTGGCATGAAACACGGATCCCTCCTCAAGGAATGCGGTGCAGTAGTTGGTTCGAGACGTGGACGATTTTTGCTGCCATGCGCGGCCCGCCACTCTGCTATGGTGGGAGGTGGCCTCGGTGCCAAGCGCTCTCCGCGCTTGAGCCACCATGGCTGCGGAGAGCGCGGAGAGCGCTCAGCACCGAGGCCACATCCCACCCAAAACAGCAAACAACGTCCACGTCTTGAGTCAGCACCTCATTCCATGTCCTTTCCTCCTGGCCCCCCCGGGGGCCGACCAAGGGCCTATGCAACCCGCGACTCCGAACGAGCAGGCACCCCTCTGGCAGGCTTTGCGGGGCCGTCCTGGCTACAGGCGGCACCTGTTCGCGTGCACGTGTCGCCCAACCGAACTGGCTGTCTGTTCCTTGATGCAGATCTGGCTTCAGGCGCTCACCTGAGGCAGCGCGCAAACGGACGAGGATGAGGCGAGGAGGGGCAAAGAAGGATGAGGAGAAGGATGAGGAGACCTCTTAGGAGTTTCTTGCATCATTCTTGAGGCTTCTGGGAGCTTCCTGGGGGCCTCTTGGAGGCCTCGTGGGGGCTTCCTTGGGCCTCTTGGGGGCCGTTGGGAGCTTCCTGGGGGTCTGTTTGACCGTCTTTCCGCGTTCCTGGTCCGTTAGACGCCGTCGGCAGCCGTCTTGGGAGCCTCTCTGGGCCGTCTTGAGGCCCTCTTGGGGCGCTGCAGAGCTGTCTTGGAGGCAATCTTGAGCGTCTTAGAGGCCTCTTGGGCCATCTTGGGACTTTTTGGGGGGCGTCTTTTGGGCCTCGTGAGGGCCGTCCTGGTGTCATCTTCGAGGCGTCTCAGGCGAATTTGGAGCGATCGTGGGGGCCTCTTGGGCCGTCTTGGGCCGTTGGAAGGCCCGAAAAAAAAGGAAATGCCCACATCCGTCAGGCTGCATGTCCTCTTGGAGGCATCTTGGGCCGTCTTAGAGTCCTCAGGGAGTCGTCTCGGGGGCCATCTTGGGGCGAAGGGCTCGAAATGTCGGTTCGTATTTCCCCTCGGGCTTCTCTTGGGCCCCCCTTGGGGCCCTATTGGGCCCGTCTTGGGGGCCATCTTGGGCCATCTGGGGGCGCTCCTGGGGCCCTCTCCTGGGCCGTCTTGGGGCGATCTCGGGGGCCTCTTAGGCCTGCCAGGAGCGTCGAGCGCCCGAAAAGGCGAGAGCACTAACATCATTCAAAAACCGACGGGAAATCAATGAGTTTGGCATCTCGGGGCCCTCTGTCGGCTCGCCTGGTCTAGGGCAGCCCGTGGGTTCAGATTGTCGACCTGGCACCTCTGGGAGGCAGCAGACAGGACTTGGGGGAACTTAAGCCAGGAGGAAGGGGACAACACCGGAAATATCACATACATATAACGACAGAAGCGAGAGAAGGCAATCTACGCCAGCAGTCCAGCACAACATCGGCAGATGCCCCCCCCTCTGCCACCCCGTCTCCCCTTGTTGCGATAGCGCGAGTTAATTCTTCCCCACCCATGGAATAGCGCTTGCGCCCTGCAAGTCTCTCTCTCTCTCTCTCTCCTTCTATCGAATAGTATATTCATTAGTGATGTACATCTTCACACAATGTTATTCCCAGTGTTTCTGCATCTGCAGAGTACCGCGCTGAGATCTGTGTCTATGTGTGTAGTGTTGATGCTGTTGGCCTTCGCGGGCTGCCCCCAGTCGCGAGGCCCAGTTGCCGTCGCGTGCATGTGAGCCTTCGCCGCTTCCATGGCGTTCAATCGCGGTCGCCCCGGCAGGAGATCGGGACGGTGATGCGCAGTCTCGGCATAGCATGCCCTGAGGCCGGAGGGACGTCCACCATACACCGACACCGCTCGTAGCCAGCGCCGTCCTGGGCCCAAGATTGGTGCATACCGCATACATTCAAGGGAGGAGAACCACCCGGACCCGACAATTGGCATTTACTAAACGGCCCTGGGCGTTTACTAAGCAGCCCTGCCCTGTTCGATTCCTTCTTTGGGTGCGTTTACGAAACGGCCTCGTGTGTCGGGGTGGTTGTTATCGGGGTGGATTTTCTGCCCTCTATGCATACCTTGTTGACCTGGGCCTGGAAGATCTGTGCACCGATCTTGGGCCCAGGATTGGCCTCCTGGCCAGGGCCGGTGTCGGCATGCAGTTGGCATCCTACGATCGGGCGGTCTGAGGGGGGGGGGCAGGGGCTCCGAAAATCGGAGAAGAAACAGCATGGAAGACATAGTTTTTCGGAGGTCACACACACACACGCACACACACACACACACACACACACACACACACACACACACACACACACACACACACACACACACACACACACACACACACACACACACACACACACACACACACACACACACACACACACACACACACACACACACACACACACACACACACACACACACACACACACACACACACACACACACACACACACACACATTTTTGGAGGATCTGCGCTGGACCCCCCTGGCGGCGACTCTGGCGCCGCCCCTGGCGCGCTCCGCGCGCCAGGGACGGGGTCCAGCGCAGATCCAGGAAGTCCACGCGGACCTCCTTTGAAAGTAATCATGCGTATGCTGTGATTGATCTCCTCTAGATCTGCTCGTGACGCCAGAGGCTTTCTGGGCTGCGTCCATCAGGGAGGCGACTCAGGCTCTCAGGTGCCAGGGTCTGGCCCTGCGTCTGCTTGCTTGCTGCTTCTCTCTGGAGGGGGGTAAGGGTGTCGGGGCCCTTTGCTTGCTTGCTGCCGTAGCGGCCTCGGCTTTGCTGCATCTGCAGGTCTTCAGGGGTCACCTCGATGGGCGCCCTGGGGCTCCCCAAAGGCTCCAACGGGGCGTCTAACGGCTGCGGGGAGCAATTCCTGAAGTGGCCAGTGCGTCCCCCCCAATGCGAGGCAATGCTCAGGGTGTTTAACGAGGAGGCGACGAAGAGAGGGAGCACCTGCTCGTTTGGGGACTTCCTGGCGTACTTCAGGCGCGCCGAGGCAGAAGAGGTGAACAACGCCACGGACGTTGCCAAGGAGTCGTCGTGTGCATCGTCGTCGTCGCTCTCGTCGTTCTCGTCATCGTCGTCGCCGTCGTTGGCGGCGGCGGCGACGCTCTCGCCATCGTCGTAGTCGTCGTCGTAGTCGTCGTCGTCGTCGTCGTCGTCGTCGTCGTCGTCGTCGTCGTCGTCGCTCTCGCGTTCGTTGCTGTCGTCGTTTTTGTCTTCGTCGTCGCCCTCCATCTTTGTCGTCTGTGCCGTCGTCTGCAGGATTGGGGTGGAGGGGGAGGGGGAGGATGAGGAGGACAAGGAGGGGGAGGAGGGAGGAGGTGAAGGACTGAGGAGCAGGACGAGCAGGGGGAGCAGGAGGCGGGAGGAGGAGGAGCAGAAGGAGCATGATGGGAGGCACAGGAGCAAGAGGCAGGTAGGCCGAGGAGATGGAGGAGAAGGTCGAGGAGGAGGAGGAGGAGGAGGAAGGACCAGGAGGAGATTGGGGAGGTGGAGGGGCTCCCCCGCAGAGCCCCAGGAGATGCAGGGCCTCAAGACCGGGCTGAACCGCTACTACGAGAAGATGTCCATCAAGCAGGCCAAGGAGGCTGGCCCAGACATGGTCGTCGGACGAGGCCAATCGTACAGTCGAAAACCCTAATAAGGACGCGCGACTTCGCTCAGGGTACCCTTGCGTCCTTACTCCTCCTTGCTTGCTCTTGCGGCTCGTCCTAAGCCTCTTTCGCTTGCCCGCTGGTCAGGGTACCCTTGGGGCGTTCGTCGTCCGCCACCCCAAAAATCCCAACTTCGGCTTCCAAGGGTCTTGCGTCCTTACCGCGCGTCCTTATTAGGGTTTTTGACTGTACCCCGACTCCAATCTCGTCCAGCCCCGCCCAGGCCTAGGATCGAGGGGGGAGATGAAGAATATCGGCGAGGACCGAGCCGGCCCCCGATGGCGATCGTACGCTTTGGGACTTGTCGTTCGGAGTTCTGGCCGTCGGCTTCATCCCGCCGAGGGCTTCGAAGATGATGGTCTGTTAGTGATCCCCCCGTTGTTCACGGTCGAGGACTCTGGGACAGCGTGTCGCTCCGCCGGTTCTGACCCACCGCGCTTCGGCGCGACACGTTATTCAGGAGGGGAAAAAACACACAGACACAATTAATCGGCGATCCCCAGGAAAATATGGGGAAATATGGGAAGTGGGGGGGAAGACAAAAACCCAGAAAATATGGGAAAATATGGGGAATCTTTTTATTTGTGTGTATTTATTTGTGTGTTTGTGTGCCCCTTTAGTTATCCATTTCCTGGTCCCAAGGCGTCAGCGTTCCGAGCTTCTCCCAGCGTCCTGCACCGTGGAGCGCAGCGGCACGCTATCCTCTTGCAAGGCACAGCGTGTCGCCGGTGCCGCCGCCGCGACACGCCAAGCAGAAGCTCCCGACCGTAAGGCCGGCTGCTTGTTCATCAAAAGTTCCCTCAGCCTCATTCGCAAATGTTTTGCTTCGTGCTGCACGGCTTTGCTCCCTTGAGAAGTCATCGTGTTGCTTCGTGCTGCTCTGCTTGGCTTCGTGCCGCTTTGTGTGTTGGCCAGTTTGACTCGCTCATCCTAAATGTCTGCACGTTCCCACGGTCCTGCGTGGGTTTTTACCAGTGGCAGGAGGCAGCGGCTGCGCGCGCAGGGGCGAGAAGAGCGGCGCGGCCCCTGCCTGCCAGCCTCGCTCACCCCCCTGGCCCCTCCTCCAGCTCGCCCTTCTTGTCTCTTAGTCGACGGCGAGCGAGGGGGGGAAGCGAGAAGGGGCGGCCTTCTCAGAAGGCTCGGAAGTCCCCAGGTCTTCTGAGAAGTTTTTGAAGTGTTCCCCGAAGATAGAGAGAGCTTCTCAGAAGGCGCGAGGGCTTCTGAGAAGTCCTTCCGCATTCTGAGAAGGCCTTCTCCTTATCGTTTCCCCCCCTCGCTCGCCGCCAATCTAGGCCTCCCAGCTGGGGTCCGTGCAAATGGGGTCGGAGGATCGCGCCGCATCGCCGATGCATCGCCGATGCGGCTCGATGTAGGGCCCGAGTCTCTCCACGCTGGTGGCGCCGATGCATCGCCGATGCATCCGTGGTGCATCGACGATGCGGCCCGCCGTCGAGCGATCAAGAAATGTCGCTCAGCATTGAGAGGCATAGATCGAAGACGACAAAAAGCCATCAACGACGGATTTCTTGGACCAGCGCTAGGCCCCCCCTCACGGCGCCTCCGGCGCCGCCCCTGGCGCGCTCCGCGCGCCACGGAGGGAGTCCAGCGCAGATCCAAGAAATCCGCGCGGAGCTCCAAAAAGTTGATGTTTATGGCCTTTCGTCTTCTTCCAGTATACGCGGTGTGAGAGGCCAACTCCCGCGTCGGCACGGCGGCAGCCAGCGGTGCACGGGCGGGGCCGGTGTTCGGGGTGCGCCGTGGCGTCGCCGCCCGAGGTCAAGCTCGCGGACCTCAAGCATGTCATGTCCATCATGGGCGAGAAGTTGTCGGAGGAGGAGGTCGAGGATCGGTCTCGTTTATCCGATCCCCATCCCCATCCCCATCGCCTTCGAGGCCCCCACCAACTTAGCACCCCAGTTGGGGATATACCCCTAGAAACCCGAAGGGAACGGCCTATATCCCCATCTGGGGGTGTAAATCGGCCAGTGGGGCCCAGGCCACGCCGCTGAGGATGGGGATCGGTTAAACGATACTCAGAGGAGATGGCCCGCGACATCCGGACCACCTGCAAGGTGGAGGACTCAGGGCCCCCGAAACCAGGACATTGCAAGCGAGAATTTCGAGATTCCCAGCTGGAGAGAACGGAAAAGGAGGGGCGTCTCTACCCACGGCGGCAGTTCTCTCGGGCGCGCCGATACCCAGGTTTATTAGAGTCCCCTGATGCGGGGCCGTGCAGGATGGGCGCGTGAGCTTCGACGATTTCGTGAACTTGTGCAAGGGGTGAGCTGCACCAGCTTGTTAGGGGCGCTTTTGAGCTCATCCTCCCCACTTGTCTCTGCTTGATGCTCGCCTCTCTCCAGCAGCTGCCGTTGCTGATCCTCTTCCGCTCAAGGCGCCTGATCCTCCGTTTCTTCCGCCTCGTCCTCCTCGTCTTCCGTTTCTTGCTCTTCTTCGTCCGCATCGCTTTTCCGTTTCGTCCTCGTCCGTGTCGTCTTCCTCCCCACCTCCGTCTGCGCTGCTGAAACATAATTGTTCCATTTGACTCTGCTGCCAGTGATGGACGATGGAGGCGGCGGCTGCTCCAGACTGGTTCAACCCCCCGTTTGGGGACGCGCAGGGCGGACGGAGCAGGGCAGGTCTCGCGGGACACCAAGCTGGCCAAGCTGCAGGACGATGTTCTCAACGACAGAGAATGAGCTGGAGGAGCACCTGCGGCCCTCATCACCATCTTGTGCCGCATGGCGCTGCACAACAGCCGCGAGCCGGCGGAGCTTCTCGGCGCTGGTTTCGCGTGCTGCTTGGCGACGCCAGCCGTCCGAGCCGGGCACTTCTACATGACCACCGCCTGGAGGGTCAGCTTTCGGAGCCCCGGCAGGCGGTGGACATGGACAAGTTCGGGCCCCCGGGGGCCGAAACGTATCCATATCCCGCCGCCCGCTGGGGCACCAGGAGGTCGGTTCCCAGGCGTTGCATATGGAGGCATCCCTGCCTCGCAAGCCGCCGGCATCGTGGCCATTCTTCCGCAGGTGGGCCAGGGCTGCAATCAAGAAGCGCAAGGCGGAGGTGCAAGGACCATTTTGGCTGGGCCCGCCGTGGCCGCACATATGTCTCTCGGGCTGCCAAGTCGAACTTGGTAGGTCAAGCTTGCAGTCGGGCCTGTCCCTCCACGGAAATAGTCCAAAAGTAGTCCGGGGATGATTGTTTGAGATTTTTGTTGGTGGGGTATTTTCTACATATGTATATATCGTTCAAAATCCCCCTATAGGGGGACAGGCCTAACTCAAGTCAAGCTCCAGAACGCAGCGGTGAACTTGAGCAAAGAGGGGTCTCGCCGCATGATTCAGGAGCACGCGCTGTTCCTTCGTCCTCGGGACTGCTGTTACGACGAGAGACGGCACACGGAGCCCCAAGTGTACACTCTACGGTTCACGGTGGCGCCAGCGCAACAGACTTCGAGCATCAATGACAGCGACAATGAGTCTGCATTCGGCTCTCTGCAGGGCGGTCGAGCACCAGGGCGGGACGTTCAGGCCAGGCTCGGTGCCGCGCGGCGCAGTGTAGGGAGATGCAGAGAAGCTGATGGCCAGGACCGGGCTTTCCCACGAGGCGGTACAGGCGCAGGTCCACAAACAAGGCGGCGTCACATGCAAGGACATGGACAATGGGGCCAGGCTGATCGCCACATCAGGATCGGAACAATGATAGAGATGCTTCGTCAGGGGAGCTTTGAGTGACCAAGCCCTCACCAATCTTCAAGCTAGACCCTGTAGGCCTATTCTTGAATGCCGCTCAGGAGCCCGTAGTTTCTTTATGTTCCATAGGTCTGGACCCCCTGTGGGGCCCAGTATAGATATGCCAACATTGCTCCAAGGGGCCTCCCGGGTTCGGCGGCAGTGATCTCCCCCACTCCTCGGTTGAGTCCCCTTCCCCGTTCCCCCGGCCTGCCTCGCCCCCTCCTCCTCCCTCTGCTGCGTCAGAGCAGTGACTGGGCAGGAATCGTTAGGATTGCGACCTCGCGACCAGCACCTGGAGCTCTCAGGGGAGAAGGTTCCTCCGGGGGGGCAACGGAGGAGCACGCGGCGTTTCCACATGGTGTGGTCCTAATCCAGCGAAAGAGCGTGTTCTACCGCTGCTGGCGGAAAACCCCGGGGGGTCACTACCGGTTCGAACCCCTCCCCCCCTCCTCTCCGGAAAACCGGGGGGGGGTCACTACCAGTTCGAACCCCTCCCCCCCCCCCAGTTCCACCCCCCCGCCCCAGTTCATCATGAAAGGGGGGGGGTCACTACCGGTTCGAACCCCCCCCCCCTCGAACTCGAAAACCGGGGGGGGTCACTACCGGTTCGAACCCCCCCCCCTCGAAAACCGAGGGGGGGTGCGGACAGTGGTGGGGACGGTGGTGGTGGGGACAGTGGTGAGGGGACAGCGGGACAGTGGTGGGGACAGTGGGACAGTGGTGGGGACGGTAGTGGTGGGGACAATGGTGAGGACAATGGTGGGAACAGTGGGGACAGTGGGACAGTGGTGGGGACGGTGGTGGTGGGGATAGTGGTGTGGGGACAGTGGGAATGTGGTGGAAACAGTAGGACAGTGGAGGGTACAGTGGTGGTGGGGACAGTGGTGAAGGCGGTGGCGAGGACGGCGGTGGGACAATGGGACAGAGGTACAGTGGGGACAGTGGTGGGGACAGTGGGGACAGTGGTGGGAACAGTGGGACAGCTCAGTGGGACAGCGGAGGAGTCAGTGGGACAGTGGGGACAGTGGGGATAGTCGGGCAGTGGTTGGGGCCGTGGAGAAAGTTGGGAGAGTGGAACCGTGGTGGGAACAGTGGTGGGGACAGTGGGGACAGTGCGACAGTACAGTGGTGGTGAGTGGCGCTGGGAACAACAGTGGGGGATGTGGTGAGGACGGTGGTAGGGACCGGGAGTCGTTTGCTGGCGGTGAGAGGGGGGGTGGGGAGGGGTTCGAACCGGTAGTGACCCCCCCCCCTCCGGTTTTCGGGGGGGGGGGGGGTTCGAACCGGTAGTGACCCCCCCCGGTTTTCGAGGAGGGGGGGGGGGGGGGGGGGAGGGGTTAGGGAGGGGGAGGGGTTTTGCCGGTGGAGGGTGGGGGGGGGGTCCAGCAGGGGGGGGGGGGGGGGGATTTTCGGAGGGGGGGGGGGGGGGGGGACCACGGGTTCAGGAGGAAAAGGGCGGCAATTTTCCACAGTAAAGCGGCGGTGGATCACGCTCTCTCAAACCAGCGGATCCCACCCGCAGAGCCGCTGATAGGCGCTCTTCAAAGCGCTCGCAGAGCCACACTCCATATTGCCTGCCCATATTTTCTAGCTGTGCTCAGCTTCCAAATCAGCAAGACATCGAACCATTGGCTCACACATGCTCTTGTATTGTTGTGTTTTGTCTTGTCTTCCTCGGACTACTAGCTTCCCTGCGCCTCCCCCCTCCTCCTGCGCGTCCTTGTGCTCATTCCTGTTTCCTCCCCCCTCTGCCGCCTTATGTGTGTCATCCTGCTTCTCGTCTCCCCCCCTCCGTCACCAACTGGTGTTGCTGCTGCTGCTGCTGCTGCTGCTGCTGCTGCTGCTGCTGCTTCTGCTGCTGCTCCCCCTCCCCCTCCCCCTCCTTCTTCTCCTTTTCCTTCTCCTCCTTCTCCTCCTCCTCCTGCGACTCCTGACCCCTCCCGAGCTCCCCATCCTCCTCGCCTTTCTGCTCCTGCGCCCCCCTGTCGGCTGTCCCCCCCTACTTGCTGCCCCCCCCCCTCCCCCCGTCTTTCAATAACCTCCAGGAACCCGCTTCCAGGAGCGTCCGAAAACCACCCAATTAATTTCAAAAACTTCGTCAAAAACAATGGAGCCGCTGGGATCCTCCTCCTCCTCCTCCTTCTCCTCACTCTCCTCCTCCTTGTCCTCCTCCTCCTCTCCTCCTCCTCCTCCTCCTCCTCCTCCTCCTCCTCCTCCTCCTCCCTCGTCCTCCTCATCCTCCTCCTTTTTGTCCTTGGCCGCTTCTCCTGCCCTCCTCCCCGCTCCCACCACCTCCTTTTTCTCCCCCTCCTGTTCCCCCCCCCCCCCCGTCCTTCACCCCCGACCCTCTGTGCACCCCCCCTCCCTCCCGTTCCCCCTTCCCTCCTCCTCCCCCTCTTCTACCCCTGTTTTTTCTTCTTCCTCCACTCGCCCCCCCCCCCCCCCCGCCCCGCCCCCCCTCTTCCCCCTCAAGCCTTCCCCCTTCCGCCTTCTCCCCCCCTCTGCCTCCCCTTCCCGCAGCCCAATTCGAAGCACGCGGGCGCCCCCGTGCCGGGCCGGGCCGGCGCCGAGAGTGCCCCCGCCCGCGGCGGCCACAAGCGCGCATGCCCCGCCTGCCGCCGCCCCCTTACCGCGCCCCTTCCCCCCGCCTCCCTCGAGAGGGCGTGGAGGAGGAGGAGGAGGAGGAGGAGGAGGAGGAGGAGGAGGAGGAGGTGGAGGTGGAGGTGGAGGTGGAGGAGGAGGAGGAGGAGGAGGAGGAGGAGGAGGAGGAGGAGGAGAAGGTGGAGGAGGAGGAGGAGGAGGAGGAGGAGGAGGAGGAGGGATAGGAGGAGGGAAAGGAGGAGGATCGAAAAACAAGAAGAAACAGTCACCCCAGCAAAGCACCCCGGTAGCAGCAGGGGTGAGTAGGCGGGTCGAGGAATATGAGGTCGGCAGGGCTCCAGAGAACGATGCGGACGGGACAGGGACGAGAACACGGCCGTGCGCAGCTTACGTATTGCACTTCTCACCAGGGGTCGTGGCCGTCGGGACCAAACGTGTAGCTGGCATTGAGGCGAGAGCAGGTTCCTGAATACAGAGTGAGGAAGTTTCAGGCGGAACGGCTGCCTGACCGGGCGTCCTCGGGCTCCCCGCCCCCCTGAGTGGGATTCTTCTTTTTTTTAAAAAAAAATGTTTCACTAGTCACCAGAAACTTCCAACGACACGCTACTAGGGAAAACGTGCGTAAACATACAGTGGAAGCCAGTCCACGAGAAACCTCCCACAAGAAACCCAACCCTGAGACCCCAGGACGTCCGTTGGTTTCTAGTGTGGAAACGCCACGCTTTCCATCGCAAAACCACTGAAACTTAAGAAACCCAGGGCACCCTTGAGACAAGCGGGATGTTTTTTGGCCTAGGCCTCCACTGTGCAGTTTCGGAGCTCCGCGGGAATCAGTCGGACTGGCGTTAGACCTGTCTGGCGGCGCCTCCAGCGCCGCCTCTGGCGCCGATCCGAGAAGTTCGCGTGTGTGTGGTTGAGCGATTGGTTTTTATTTAGAAGAGCTGGAGGA